TGGTGTCCAGCCAGGGTCAACCCACCACACTCAGAAACAGCGCCCATGAAAAGAGAGGGGCCAGCCATGCCGCATCTGCCCAGCTGGAGACCTGTACGAAGGGCTCTTCCCAAAGCTCCTGCCTGACCGAAGGAGATGCTGCCGGCCATCTCTTGTCGTTTCCCACCCGGCCGCTGCTGGCGAGGGGGGGCCCTGAGAAATGGCAGGGCAGCTTGGCCCCTCTGGTTCCCTGCAGGCTGCAAAGGGACCCCAGCAGGGCCGTGCTGGCAGAAGCCGTCGTGCCCAGGGCTTGGGGAGCCTGTGGGGCCCACAGGGCTGAGCACGGGGGGCTCTGAGCCCCCCCATGGCTGCACAGAGCTTCATATTTCCTGGACCTTCAGAAAACCTGGCTTGTTAGGTTAGCCGCTCTAATAGCTTTAGTGGTCAGTCCAGACTTCCCAGCTGAACCTTCCCTACGCCTGGGCCTCCAGCCACCAAGAAACTCGGCATCTAATGTAGATGACGGGACAATTTCAGTTTGGACGGGACCTCTGAAGGTCGTCTCGTCCGACCTCCTGCCCAAAGCTGGGTGAGCTATGAGGGTCAGCGTGCTGGCACAGCCCACGTACCTGGTGCTTCTTGTCCTGCGAGCTCATGGTTAGGGGATTGTAAGTGATCTTGTAGGGCTTCTTTTGTTGATTGGCCTCTAGATGGAAAAATTCAGGTCCCTTCCAGTGTTCCCCCTCAATGACAGGTTGCACGGTCCAGGCCTCGCTGCTCGGGTTGGAGAGGAGGATGGTCTGGCTGTGCTTCTCGCGCACGTCGCACGTGAAAGTCAGCGTCTGCGAGAGAGGGACGCAGAGGCTGCTTGGTCGTACCGAGGAACCCTTTACGCTCTGCTCAGACTCCTGACTAGCTCGAGGACCTGGAGCAACGGGGAGCAGCTTTTCCTTGCCATATGCAAAATTTCCATTTGGGGTCATAGCTTTTGGAGTAAATCAAGTTGTTCTTAGAAGAAGGGAGAGGAACAAGTCTTTCCCACGCTGGCTGCCCCCTCAAGGAGGGGAGAAACAAAATGGGGAGTCCTGGAAGGAAACTCTCCTGTGGGAGGACAAGACCTGCAGCCGCACAGAGGCAGCCTGAAGAGCAGCTCTAGGCTCTGTTTTGGGAGCAAGAGCCAAGAGCCCCCAGCTGCACCCTCCTGCAATGTCCCCGAGAGCCAGGAGCCCTCCCCGCTGCATCCCTGCACCCCAGGAGGTGGATGCAGGTTCTTTGCCCGTTCCTAGTGCTGAATGCCCTCCCCTGCCCTGACCGGGAGGAAAACTCTGGCTGTGGGTGCAATATCGTGGGCACAGCACCCCCCGGCTATGGGGGAAGGTCTCAGAAGAGCCCTGCAGGGCATCCCCGTGGCAAGGGCGCTGCAACGCAGAGCCAGGACCGCCCCGAGGTGCTCGCTGGAGGAGCAGCGCCTTTAACAAGGGAGGGAAAGCAATTACAGGGCTCAGAAATTTGGGGACTCCTCCTGCCCAGCCGTTTTCTCAGCTCTCTGGGATACCCAGGCAGGAGTGAGCAAATGTCCTCCAGCCCCTGCCCTGGGAGAGAGGTGGTGCAAATGGTGGGGTAAGGTGGGGGATCCATCCTGATTCTGCTCCGGTTACCTCTTTGATCACAGGGGTCTCCATGCAGCACCCTGCCAGCGTCAGCCGGAGCGGCTGACTGCCCTGGATGAAGCACTGCAGGCCCTCGTACTGGATAGCGTGGCTCAGCTTAGAGGGGTGGAAGGTCACCACGAAGGGGACGTCCATTCCTGGGGAGATGTAACCCTTCAGGGGGCTGATGGAGAAATCTGGCTTGAAGCTCTCGATGTCCCACTTAAACCTTGGCAAGGAAAGCACAAGGACAGAAAGGATTAGCAACTGGGAGGCTGCAAACACAGCGTGCCGGTCCTAAGCCTCTTGTGGGCTTTTCCACAGGATCTCAGGCACGGTGCTGAGACACCTGGCAATAAGGCTTCAGGTTAGGTGGGACTCGGCTGCACCTGTCTGTAAACAAGCTTTTGGCTTGTATTCCTCCCTAACTGCCAGGGCCTGACTGCACAGCCTTGGCTGCACGACTCTCCACTGGGATGGAAAAGCAGAAGGGAACTATCTGGGCAAGCTACAACTCCATCCAACCCTCGTCCAAGCTCTCAGCCCTCAGGGACAACGGAGTTTTGCATTACTTGACTCCCATGTCGCCCGTGTTCTGCATGATGATGCGCTGGGATGTGTAGCTCTGCTGCATCACCGCTCCAAAGCTGAGGTGTTCCTGGTCCAAGCTCACACAGATGCCCTGGCAGGAGCCCCGCACCATGAAGAGGGAGCGCACCAGGCCGTTGCACTCCATCATCACTTCCTCGGTGAACGGCTGGATGCGGCACTTTGGGGAGAAGGTCACCTCCACTTTACAGGTGCCTCCTTTGGGCTTCAGGCTTAGCTCATCGGTGGGGTTCAAGTAGAGAACCTACCCAAAGAAATGAGAGTACTTCATTAGGCAACTGAGCTGTGGATCCTCCATGGAGTCTTCCAATTCCATTCTGTCCCCATCAACACTGTCCCAATCCCACCCATTCCCTGGTACGTATCCCTAGGTACCAAAGGTATTTTCCCATGACGCGTCCACCACGGTGAGCTGGACTACGTCTTCCAAAGTAATGTCACATGAGCTCCAAGAGAGCTGTAAACTCTTGGTCTTTCAAGACTACCTTTCCATATCTAATATACATGACCACATCCTAACGCCTAAAAGAGGTGAGAGGAACTGTCCCTTCTTCTCACTTCTGGCTATTAAGCTCACCCAGCTCAGGCGAGGCATTCACAGTGCAAGTATCAGAAGGTAGAGCAGGACAGCATATAATTGTAATTAGCTGTACTAATTGGGTACTAGCTCCCACCCAGAGCAGCTCAGAGCTACCCGCAGGCGTTCTGGTAGGCACACCAAAGCGTTCTCCAGTGAAGGAAGGGGCCTTACCCCAGCTTCCTGCAGCTCTGGCGTGGTGGACACGAGACTGAGCTTAAAAGCGAGAGGGGCAGCGCTCCTGTTTGCTATGGTGACAGTCTTCTTCACCGTCTGTCCGATGGAGAGGGCTCCCAGCTTCACCACCTTTCCTTGTGGTTCCACAACGTCAACCTGAGGCAGGAGGGATTCATATAAAGCGAAAAGAAAGAAGGAGAAAAGGTTTTCTGTCACACTTGTGACAGAAAACCAAAACACGGTAGGCTGGGGAAGAGAGATGAGGAAAATGAGACAGAAAGCCATGCTGGCTGGAGTTTCAGGATCTGGATTTCATCCCACCTTCATTTCCGTGCCCCTTCCTTGGACCTCAACAGTCTGCTGGCAAAGACCGTTGATTTCAAAAGGGATGAGCTCATGGTAAGACGCAACCTCTCTGGGATAAAAAGCGATGGGCACCTCCACTGCCTCTCCCGGGCGTAGGACACGCCCTGAGAAGTCCACCTTCAGGTGCGCGGTGCTGGTGAACAAGCAGTTCAAACTGGTGGAAAGAGGAGCAGAGCTGTCACAAGGCCGTGTGTGCTCGGATGACATCATCAGGGCTGCTTAGGGCTTCTTCCCCTCTCCTCTCCCTACCTCACATCCTTGTCTGCCTTGTTCGTGATGAGGAGGGTCTGCTGGGCGGGTGGCATCCCAGCGCAGTAGATGAAGCAGGTTCCAAAGTTGAGTCTGGTGGTGGAGAAGCGGACAGCGGGCACTACCACGGTGGCAAGAAACACGCAGGTAAACGTGGGACCCTTGCTGATCTGGCGAGGGGAAAGACAGCATGAGCCAGCTGAAGAGATGGGAACTACAACCGCAAGCACCAGAGATGGCCGAGGAAGAGGATGGGGGACAGCCGGCTGCAGTGACAATGCGGAAAAGCCAAAGGACCCCAGAGTGGAAACAGAAGGTGGACGGCTTGGGCCGAGAGGGGAAGGGTTTTTGGAGAGTCACGGCCCTGCTTTGTGCAGCCACGCGCTGGCAAGATCTTGCTGAGCTGTGGGACGTGACCAGGAGAATCAGCTCCATCCCTGAGCACGTCTGGGGCCCCTCCAGATTCGGGGCAGAGAGGGCCTGGGGGATACGTCCTGCCCCAAAAGCGCTTCCCAGAGCGGTCCTGGATAATCACTTGTGAAAATATTCCATTCCAAAGCTGAAGGGAAGGCGAAGGTCCCGTACCAAATGCTGGTGCCTCACCTGCAGCGTCAGCTCCACGTCCTTTAAAGAGCACATCTTCTGTGGGCAGAAAGCCAGCTGGATCTCCGCTTTGCCCTCCGCCTGCACGGTGCCCACCCGAGGGGTGACAGCAAGGACCTGCTTACGGGCTGCGGCGCCACTCAGCTCCCACGAGAAGGTGAAGCTGACCTTGCCGTTATTGCGGATGCTGAAGATGCGCTTGATGTTCTCGTTCAGCTGTACCTGCGGGGAGAAGGCGGCGAGGATCAGGGCTTGGAGCACAAGCAAAGTGTCAGCTGGGCCAGCAGGTCTCCTTCCTAACGTGCTCCTGCATCTTTCAGCTAACGACCTGCGTGAACGATCAATCTCCCTCCCTCTAGAGACCCATAGATGAAGAAAAACGTGCCCTCTTGTTCAAATATACCTGCAAAGCTCCTGGTTAAGGCCCAATCCTGCAGGGCTTTCGTGGGGCAAACGGCTCAGGGAGCTGCTCACCTCCTTGAAATCAATGACGTTGATCTCCTGCGCGCTGAGCTCAGTGACACGGCCGTCACCGTCCTCGCACCCGACAGACACGTTCATGCTATAGCTGGTGGCCTTGATATTCAAGGAGAGGGGCTGGGTCTTCCTCTTGACATTGCACTTGAGGTTGAAGACTGCCTCTCCTTCTAGCGTTGGGGTGAAGGAGACTGTAATGGGAAGCCTGGGGAGAGAAACACCTTTTTGCTCTGTTCACTCTCTCAGCTTTCTTGGCCCCACATTGCCTGCTCTACCGGAGAGCAGCTCTGGAGAGACCCCAAGCCCGGGAGAAACCAGGAACAACCCTCTGCCCTTCCAGCGCCTTCCACCACAGAGCAAGCCCTGGTGAGAGCTGTTTAGGGTACGATGACCCCGTGCAACGAAATGGCAGAGGACACAAGGCGGCGGCAGCAAACCCCGAGCTAACGCCGACCTTACTGCCCTGCCCGCGCGCTACAGGGCAGCAGTGGGGTGACAGTGGTGTCCCAAACGCAGAGCGGGGCGCTCCCAGAGATCCCGCATCTCCCCAGGCTATACGAGAGGGGGGACATTGTCTTTGCAAAGTGGAATCATCCAGCTCCCATGACAGCAGTACAACGTGGGTGCCACCAAACTGCCTCTACGTGATTTCTATGGTAATTTCGATGTAATTCCTGGGTACGTGATCAAAGACAATCAAACTGCAGAGATTTATGGAGCTACCATTTCTCAGGTGAGCCCCAACAGCTGGTGCAGGGCGCTCTCTCATCTCGCACCCGTCGACGAGCCAAAATTCAGCAAAGCTGCCCAGAGCTAGGACATTCTCCTTACACCCAGGCAGACACCCATGGTGGATCAGCAGATGAGCTAGCGACCCGCTGCACTGCTTGAACTCACGATCACGTCTGATCGCAAGTCACGGCTACAGTTTACGAGAAAAAAAACCAAAACACCCAAACCATTTGTTTTCTAACAAGTAATCCTGCAAAACACAGCTAGTTGTGTGAGCCTGTCGCCGTCCTCTGTGACGGGCTCGACTGGTGCCTGCAGCGCTGCTCGCGTGCTTCGCTGTGACCACGCGTGGTGGGCTCTGTCAGCGAAGGAACTCGGGGAAGAGAGGAGACCTTGCATACTAAAGGCTGCTGGCTCAGGGGATCACAGGGTTTTAAAACCCCCCAAAATGCTTTTGTCATCAAAACTAGAAGACCCAAAGCCTGAATTTCTCCAGGAAAGGGGTCTAGAAGACTGGAGGTAACCCCGCCACGGCCACTTTATGGAGAGACCTGCAGTTTCGTGGTGTCCCCCGTGGGAAGGAACGGAACAAGGCAGAGGTAATGCTATTGCCGAGAGTGACCGCGGAGGGCAGAAAGCCTCAAAAGCACCACGACAGTGGAACGTTTGGGGGACAGGAGAGGGAATCCGGCCAGGGAGCCCCGTTACCTTGAAAGAGGAGCGATGGTGCCTTCCAGGGGCTCTATTTTCACGGAGCCGTTACATCCCTCTGAGAAGAGCGAGCTTTCTCTGAAAGCAAAGCTGAAGGCTTCCTTCTCACTGTTGATCATATAGATAGTCTGGTGCACCTCGTGCCCTGGGGAGAGGACAAAGCAGCCGCTGAAAACCTTTTGTTCCTCTGGCCACCAGACCACCGCTGAGCCCAGCAGGCAGTCCGCAGCAAGGAGCGTTGCCTGCAGCTCAGGATGCCAACACGGAAACGTACTCCTGACCCCCAAATCCCTTCTTGCAGACAGCCCCAGCAACACGCCACGTCCCTGACACAAGCCTTCCTCCCTTCCCCTTCCTCTCCCTCGTACGCTCGGGTGCCAGGAGCTGGATGCTCTGCTCACAAGAGCCCGTTTCCAGCTTCCTCGTGGGAGCTGGCTGGAATAACGGGACTGGAGATGTACACGTCCGAGTAAGGTATGACCACGGTGCTCACCGATTAACAGCAAGTGGAAGTTCAGGTGGGATCTGTCCAGGGTCACTAGTGGGTCGGTGGTGTTGCCCACCAACAGGAACAGGACTGAAACGCTCTGCTCGGGGATGGTAAACACCCAGAACGATTCTGTGATGTCCAGGTGCTGGGGGATGAATTCAAACTTGATCTGGAGGAGAAAGAGGCAAGCGAAGGAATGGTGGTGCCCTTGGCAGGGTGAGGGCAGGGGGATGCAAGCTGTTCCACTGAGACACCCCAGGACGCTCGCGTGCCACTTACACCCCAAAACCATGGCAGATGTAGGCACGGTGTGAGAACGGGGGTCCTGGCTAAAGCTCACAGCGAGATGGGATGCCCAGTAAGCGCAGACACAGCCCGTGTCAAACCGACGTACGTGCGGACCGGACCCACCTGCTTCATTTTCTGCACCTACCTCTGCTTTCTTCCCTGGCTGGATCTGACCTCTCTCCGTGAGGCAGGAGAAAGCCCGCTGTTCTGGTGGGGCTTCGGGGTCTCGGCAAGTCCACTGGAAGGAATACGCAGAACCGGTTGGGTTCATAACCGTGAAGGTCCTGGGCACAGAAAACAGAAAGGACTACTAAGGCGGCGTTGGGTCGTTAACGATGCTGTCCTGTCGCAGACGTCAGGCACTGCCGGTCCTGGACACCATCTGGAAGGAGTTATTTGGTATAGGGGAACAACACTGGGAGCACAACGTTTCACCTGCTTTCTACGTGTTTCACCTAGAATCATTTCACCAGCTTTCTTTTACTTCTCAGGTGGCTGTAGAATAACGGCTATCGACAAAGAAATTAGGAAGGATATAGCCAAATTCTTGCATGATAACATGGTAAGATCAAGTGGAAATGGTAAAAAAAAAAAATCAAGTCCAGTAAGACTCCTTCGGAAGATGGTACTCTGTTGTGGTTGCAGCCTTTGCTGCCTGGTATCTCAAAGGAGCAAGAATGTCGCAAGGATGCTCTTCAAAGGGCCAAAGGTTGTATTGGCCACAAGGCACAGGCTGGGGACACGTGGTCCTCCCAGACTGGCCCATACCTTATTGAAAAAAGGGACAAAGAGAACAAAAAACTTGGCCAGTTGCTGACCAGCTTGCTCCAGCCCCAAAGCAGACTTGGTGGCCAAGTGTCAGCAGATCACAGACAAGGTACAGATATGCCTTGGACTTGGAAGAGTGAAGGGGGGTGACTAGACGACCATCAACAGGAGAAGCCATGCCCACACCTACCTGCTGTTCCTGCTGCGCACTCCGATTGCCGCAAACTCAATCACTCTCGTGTTGAGATCGAGCGTTGCTCCCTTCGATCCCTGCAACTCCGGGTCGTGCCTTTTTGTGGTGATGTAGTCAGAGTCTTCCAGTTCAAAGTGGCAGTTTGGCATCAGGCTTCTCCCCTTCACAACCACCTCTGGGCCCTTCTGATTTGGTTTCAGGTTAGGAATCCTAGGAAGAAAGGGACTGGTAATAACCAGACTAATGTTTCCAGACAGCCAGCTGCTTGCCTGTCATGGAATCACAGACTGGTTTGGGCTGGAAGGGACCTCAAAGCCCATCTAGTTCCAACCCTCCCCCATGGGCAGGGACACCCTCCACTAGCCCAGGTTGCCCAAAGCCCCATCCTGTCTCCTCATACGGCACAGAGTGGTGCATCCTCTCCCCGTGCAAGCGCTGGATCTCTCGTTCCAGATTTTGCAACCCTCCAGGAACTTAATATTTCATACAATATCTTTTCCCAGTGTCTCCATACCCGCTTCTACCAAGGCTGGATGATCATCTTGCTTTTCTCCTGTATGTTGGTTGTTTCTGCTGCCTCTCTTGGGCTGGCTGTCCCCACATCCACACTCCCACCCCCCCAAAAGTTTAACCATGACTACCCATCAGTAGCGTGAGCTGAAAAGCGAGCAAGCCTGGCCATTTCCTACCTGCAGAGCATACGGCTCTCAAAGTCCCCCACATACACTGGGGAGAACTTCATCTGGAAGAGTTGCTCCTGGCCAGCAAGGATGGTGCCGCTGCGGGGCTCAACAAAGAACGGCGGGCTGGCACTGTCGGTGTTCACAGACGAGCTCAGCGAGGAAGAGACCTGCTCCAGAGCATGTCCCAGCTGGCTCGAACAACAGCTAGACTGGAGCTTCACAGAGGCACCAGAAGTGGAGGAGGAGAAATCCCCTGCGGTAAGGAAGAGGTTATATAGGAAGACATCTTTCAAGGAGAAAATTCTCCCAGCAACTCTGCCTCCTGGTGCAGGTGGGCAGAAGGGAGCTGGGATCCACTTGGAGCATCTCTGGCCAAGTGCTTTAAAGGACTCCCGGTGAAGAACAGCGAGAGCGGTCAGTCTTTTCGTTTCTGTGCTACTGCTAAATCGTGATCCCAGAAAGTCCTGGGGACAGCGTGAACGTGAGAACAGCGTGGGGGGCAGCAGACACAGAGACCCAGAGCACTGCTTGAAGCAAAACACACCACTGACCATCACGCTGTAAAGATACTCGGATGACGGACAGGAGGGCTAGGGCTACGTTAGGAAATCAAATAGGCCCGGGCCTAAGCCAGCTGCTTCACTCCATGCTGTTAAACTCTCTCCCATCTCCACAGCTGGGTAAGCTTGAGGCAAACTTCTCCTGCAGAACGGTTTCTGGCCAGCATTCATCCCCAAACCATATCCAGGAACTAAGAGCAGAGATGTCTGTGTTACAGTATCTGGGAAAATTTCTGAGCGCCGTGTCGTGTCCCAGCACCGCCAGAGAGAAGGCTTTGGGGAACAGCGCTGCTCTGTCCTTCACACCCTTTCCTTCCTTCCTCTTTGTCAGGCTTTCGTAACCGATGACCAGACAGCTCGGCACAGCCCAGCAGACCCGCTTCAGCACGAGCCTGAGCATCCAGGACGGGGCTGGGCTCTCCCACCTTGACCCGACCAGCTGCCCGCGCTGGGAAACGCAGGACTTGGCAGCTCTCCTGCTTCTGATGAGACCCCGGACACGCAGCCCTGTTTCCCCGCAGAACCCCGCTGCTCTCGAGGAGACCGTGCGCTCAGACACGACCTCATTACTGTGGGTTAATGAGTCACTGCCCCGCCGTTGAGCTCCGACGGCTGCGGCGAGCAGGGTCCCCGCCTGCGGCAAACGCTCCCGTGCCCAAGCGAGGAGGGTTAATTTTAGACAGTGACTTTGCACTGGCCCTGGACCAGGGAATTGCACGCAGACAGTGACCGCGGGTCAGCTAACTCGGCGTTACGCCATCAGTTTTCCCAGTCTCGGACTTCCCAAAGAGGTGCCCCGATGGCCCGGCCCACCCCGTGGCTCTCCCCGGAGCCAGGCTCGGCTCCCGCGCAGAGCACGAGCGTCACAGCAAGCGCAGGAGGGTCTGAAAGGCAGGGAGGGGGCCGGGAGGAAGCCTGCGGCTGGGAAGATGCTGATAAAAGTGGATGATTGGACAGGGATGAAAAAGCAATTCATGTTTTGGGGTGAAACAGCACGGTTTTCTCCCCAAGCCCTCAGCTACCAACCGAAACGCTCCCGGCACCCCCAGCTGCCGCACAGAGCCAGTCCCTTACCATCCAGGCTGGGTGGGAGCAGCTCCCCAGCATGGCCCACTGCCCCTTCAGCCTCTGCTGCCGCCATCCAGGTGTATTCCAGGGCCACGTTCCCTCTGTTGGACAGCTGGAAACTGAAAAGCGAGGAGGAGGGAAAAAAAAAAAAGGAAAAAGCCCGATAAATACTACGTGAGTAGAGAAGTAGCGCTGTGCGGTGGGGCTCCTGGCAGCCCTTTCTTTATGTCGAGTAGCATCATCTTCCCCAGACAACTCTGCCATGTCTAGATCGCTGCCCCAGGACAAAATATTTCAAAGTTTGGAAGTTAAAGAGGAAAGGGCAGACGTGGTACCCAGGAGACTTAATCCAAGGGGCTCGTTCTGGTCTTGTGTCTCGGTTTGACATTATTTTGATTGCAAACTCGTCCTTGAGCAGACGAGGACAGGCGACACGCAAGGAAAGCAAACCCGTGGCCGTTCTCAGCACAAAGGCACAGCAGAATTGAACCTCTCCCGGCACGTCTCGGCAGGACGGCAGCCACCATCTCCCGCTTGGCTTCGCGTGCGGATATATGGGCCCCAGCACTTGGAAAGGATGAAACGATAAACGATTTGTTTAAAGGGATGAACAGCAGGTGGGACCGAACGTAAAGCGGGAGAAGGGACTCACGTGAACGTCCTCGTCTGGAAGAGCAAGGTCTCCTTGAACTGAATCACGTCCGTATCCAGCTCGAACTCGGCATAGTCAACGACGGCACTGAGGAGAAGCTCCACCTCACGGCTGCTGTTCTCCAGGACAGTGTGAGCTGGTTCTGGGTCTGTCTCAATCACCTCCAAGCAGGAGAGAGGAGAATCACTGAGCAGAGCCCAGAAAGCCAGACTGAGCAAAATCAGCCACGTAGAGGGGCTAGGAAGGACCATCCCCGCTTATTTCCCTGGAAAGATGACAAAATTTGACCCTTGCGCTATAGTATTTGTTTCTACCTACCGATCAAAGCAATCGCCATCATGACTGTGAATAGACCCATGGGGACAAGGACCGGGTATCAATCCCTGTGTCTGACCTTTTTCCTGGCCCTCTAATAAATCCAGCAGACCTCTAAACTAGGAGTTAGTTCCCCGGATGGAGCTCTGTGGATGGAGAACCCCCACGAATGAACCTTTTCCTTTCCAGATGTCTTGTGTAAAGGCAACAGCCACGCTGGTGGGGGCTGGGGACAGGCATTTTGGGATGGGAACTCACTAGGGAAGTCTCTGAGTGCTGACGCTCCGATGGGGACAAATTTTGGCTTACAGGTCTTACAGTGGTTCAGAAATAAGAGAAGAACCATCACCCAAGAGAAGCGTGTTTAGCAATAATGATAATAAAAGCAAGAGTTTCTGGAGATGGTACTTCTCCGGACTCCTGCGTGACTGCCATACGGTGCCTGGGCTGCTCTGTAATGAGATATGCCCCAGGACAGAGAGACCGCAACCGAAATCTCTGGTATCGGTGCAGACAGAGCTCAGAGCTCACCCACAACACGCTGGTGGGCCAGCCAGCACACACGGAAGAGCACTAGTATTGCTCCCCGCTTCCAAACAAGAGACAGAGTGCACTGGATTTCACTCCTTGTTGGTGAAAAGGCACTGAACCAGATGAAAAGATTTTAACGCCGTAAAATATGTTATGGTGAGACGGGACCTCCTGTTCAAAGCAGGCTGCAACACGTCGGCATCCACCTCTCCCCTGAAACGCGCTGCTGGTTAACCTCATGGACGGATTAAATGTCAGGAGGAAGGAGGAGCCGCTTTGCCAGCAGAGATGGTGGTCTGCTGCCATCAGCAGTTCTTTTTTGTGGAAGCTGGGTTAGCTTTTGCTCTTGCGCTTCTTACCTTCTTCTTGACAGGCCACGTGGCTGCCGGGTCCCTCGTGGCATCCACCCACTTGACGGTGTGCAGGCGGTCGTCCCAGTCGGTAACCTGCTCCGACGGGAGCTGGAAGGCGATCCTCGCCACCTTACACTTCACAGGGTGCATTTTGAAGGCGGCCACGACATCCGATTTCAAGGTCACCGTGATGTCCTTAGCACAGCCAGCATGGAGGTGTCCCACCTAGGGAGAACCAGAGAGCCAAGACCAAACTGGAATCACCGGCAAGGGCAGGACGGATGGCAAAGGGATTGATGCAGTGAGCAGCCGTGCCTGGAATCTGCATCTTATTGCGTGTTTATCCCAGGTTTGATGGAGAGAAGTACAAAAAAACACCACTGCCCATAACATGGAGCCTTTTCTGCAGGGCTGACAGCCCTGCCCCAGCAAAGCCAAGGATCGCATCTCCCGCGTGGCGCTGAAACGGGCTCTGGCCGGTACGCGTGAGCTCCAGGAGCCCGCCGGGCAGGGGAAAGGCAGAGCCGCCCAAGCTCACCTCGGGGGAGAAGCGAAAGGGGGAGACTGCCAGCCACTCAAACCGCATCGCCTCCACCCTGCTGCGGTTGGGGGGGTGCCCCCCCAGCCACTCAAACCGCATCGCCTCCACCCTGCTGCGGTTGGTGATCGTGAAGGTCACGGGGTAGGGGGTCCCGATGTGACAGTCCCCGAACTGGATGTGATCCACTCTGGCAGCTGTTAAGAATGAGAGCAAGGGATGTCAGCGCACGGTGAGCTCCGTCCGCCCCCCCGCAGACAGACACACGCATGTCCAACTCCTTTCCTCGCTCCAAGCCTTCCTCCCTCTGGGAGATGCAGTTCCCCATCCGACCACTTTCAGAGATACACCCCAACACGTCCCTGAACGCGTGGCCGCGCGGGCGGAGGGACATGACGCGCACGGCACGCTCACGGACCACCAGGTCTGGTGGGCGACAGCACAAGCCTGATTATATCGAGGACACAAATCATCGTCCGTGGTCTGCATCCCCGTAGCATACCGTGGGCTGGCAGAACCCCTCTGAGACACCCAGCTGAACGCTGGTATCTCTGACCCCTCCTTGCTAGCCTGCAAGCTTCTCCCTTGGCAGAGGATCTTCCCTTGCGCTCTCAAGCGTGGCTGCTCTGCAGGCTACGACAGGCAACGGGATCGGTCTGCTGAGTCTGGACCACACCTGCACTGGCACGGGCTGAGCAGAAACGCGTATGTTCCTGATCCTTGCTCCACCTTGGCAGCCTCTCCTCTCTTACCCTCAATTACGTCTTCCTCCAGATCACCCTCAGTGTCCTCCTCCTTGCCGTCCGCCACTAGTCCGTGGATGTTATCTAGTGTGAAGTCATCCTCGTAGCCTTCACCCACCAGCTGAACGTTGGTCTCTTCATAGGGGTTGTCCACCACTGACAGGTGGATCTTCCCTTCCGCACGTTGGGCCAGGTTGGGTTTGAAAATCACGTCAAACTCTGCTACTTCCCCGTGATGCAGGACCAGGGAAGCGGTGTGGGGCTTCCTCTCTGCACAGCAATGGAAGTCAGAGACAAGTGACACAGCTAGCTGGACAGAGGAAATCCTCCCACGGGGTCTAAGCGGAACAAGAGGTTGAAACCCAGCTGCCTCTAAGCACAGGTTCTCCCACCAATGGTTCCAGACCCTCTTCCTATGTCCACAAGACTATGACACCACCAAGTGTATCACTGCTTAAGTATCTTAACCTCAGGTCAACGCTCAACTCTCGCTCAAACCGCACCCAGCCAGCTCCTGCCATACGTAAAGCTGAGTTAAGGAGCGGTTTTGGCTTTTGTTGGCTGGCTGTGGGCTCAAGGGCTGTCTCCCTTCAGGCTGGTAACTCCCCAGGTGCAGCAAAGACCTCAGATGGTCCGTTCAAGTGGTGACAGTGCCCCACAATTCAACCCACCGCGTCCAGAAGAACAGAACAGCTTCCTACAAGGTGCTGGGACGAAACCCTGCAAAGACTCTACGTGCAAAACAAGGGGTACAGAGGGCTCCGGGGAAGAAACTGTACTGCACATCTGCCTACTGTTTGGCCAAGCCAAGAGCAGGACACACGTTTTCCCTGTGTGGATGACCGCGCTTCACGGTTAATGAATTTACCTTCTCCGGGAGAGTCCTCCTTCGTGCTCACAGCTTGGTAGATGCAGCGTGTGGTGGGCCTGGCTTTCAAGAAGAAAACTCCCCCTTCATCCAACAGGTCTATCATGAACTGAGAGAAGGGAACACAGAGCATGACCACGCTGGTGTGGGTACGGGATGGCACCGCAGATCGACACCGTCCAGCACAGGGAACCCAGCACGCTTCCCCCCCTTCAGACGCAGCTCAGAACCAAGTTTAAGTAAAATCAGACAGGAAATAAAAATGTTCGGAGGCATTGGGATATCGTGACGTTATAGCCAAACAGGACTGAAACTACTAAAAGTAATGGGTGGGATGTAATTAAATTACAACTGAGTTTTTAATTAAAATGTAGTAAAATGTGATCAAATACAATCTAACGTAACTAGGACGTCACACATTCCCACGGGAGAAGCAAAACAGGAGAAG